GTACAGTGTGGGGTACAGTGTTGAACCCAACAGTGAACTCAGTAACTGCAGGAAGTTTGTGTAAAACCAGAGATTTAGACAGATTTTTTGAGTAGATTATTTCCTGAGAATATATATATAATATATTGTTGTTTAGTATATTGCTTTATATAAAAACTATTAAATTTAGTTTTATTCACAGAAATAAATGAAATGCTGAGATATCGGTCTACTGTGTCTAGTCCTCAAGACCCCCTGTGAGACTTTGGCAACCCCTAGTGGAGGTGCTGACCCTCAGGTTGGGAACCACTGATCTCAAATACAGTTAAAATTAAGGATTCACAATATAGATTTCTTTTTCAGCCAATACAGTAATACATTGTTAAAGAAAAGTTCAAATTCATTACAAACAAACACTTGTGACTCTTCAAATGTTCTTCAAAAAACAATCAAACAATTTGACATAATTAAAAATAAATTATTATCAACTGATGATTTATCAGCTGTAATTGAATTATTCTGAATTCTTAATGATATAAATGTCCCATTATTATTTATCTGCCTTATAATGATCTGGAGTAAAAGTCATCACATTTAAAGTGCAGGATCAGACGTCACAGACACACATTGACTTTAAGTGCCTTTACCTGCAGAAGGAGAGGACAGGAGCTTCACTGTTCATTCTTTGGTACTAACTGTAGTAGTAACAGTGTTAGTGGTTCTGACATCAGACAATCAAACTGTGGACTTGTGCACCCTCTGCAGGCTGCTGTGGGAACTGCAGGCTGTAACTGTAGAGACTCATGGTGATTAATCTGTTTCCTGTCAGTCAGCGTGGATTACTGCTGGATTACATTCACACTGACAGGAAGTCACCTGGAGATAGAGCTACAACACACAGAAACCACTGTCCCCAACAACTACACTTTAATTATAACAGCAGAAAAGAAATATCAGCCATATAAACTACCACAGATAGAAGAGTGCAGGTAATACAAGTTTTTACCATCAAAAGAAACAGTTTAACAATATGATGCTATAACGGTGGTTTTCTGTGCAATTTACAGTCTGTAATATAAAAAACAACTTTATTCTGTATAAATTCCTGTAAAATGTCGTATAAATAAAGGCTTTGCCATGACATTTTTTACTCAACTCAACTTTATTGATACAGAAACCCAAAGTGCTTCACATAGCAAATGGAAACAACACAAAAACAAAATTAACAACCGTAAATAAAATTGTGCAAGTCTAAAAAAATGAATACAGTAAAAACAATAAAATGTAAAACATCGAAAAAATAAATAAATAACATAAATAAAAATAAAATTAGATGTAAAAATAAACACCAGAAATACAAATAATATAAAAACCTGAAAACTAACATTAGTCCAGGGTAAAATCCAGATGAAATAGATGATTTCTCGTCGTTGTAATGTCTAATAGAGGCAGTTCACAGTTTAGAGCCATAAAAACATCAGGATCATTTAAGAGGAAAGCAGTGGAGGACGTCGAGCTCACAGCAGGGTGACGTTGCATTGGTCAGGTGACTGTAGAGTCTATCCTGTGTAGCTGACTGTGGGCGGGGCTGCAGACACTAATCTGATCAGATCACTGACACACTGCAGCTGCTAACAGCTAACAGCTAAAACTGGAAGTGCACACCTTTACCTGCCGTTGGCTCAGAGGAAGAGGAGACAGGATGAAGGGTCTGGTTCAGCTCAGAGGAGGCATTTCATATTGATTCTGTTGTTGTCAGCTCTCTCTGTTGGTGTTTGTTCATTGATCCGAGGGAGGAGTGTTAATGTTCCTCCTGTTTCTTCACTTCTCTCTGGTCTCATACAGATGTTTGCTGTTGTGTAAAAAGTGGAACAATAACTGTTGGTATTGTGTTTGTGTGTAGGGTTGGTTATATGTAAGAACATATCAGTACACTAGAGCAGTGGCTCACAACCTTATTTCTTACACTGATGATTAATTATGACCCAAATCGTGAACACAGTAACTGCAGGAGGGACATACAGTCACCAGATCCTCGTCAGTATGTCGATACATAGAGTGTTTATGTTGAGGTAGCTAACCCGTTAGCAATGTTTGCTACATATGTACCAGATAAAGCAGGTATGTCCAGGTCCAGTGATTTACCTGGGGTCACATAATGATGGTTAACTTGCACCAGGGAGGTGTGTGGGTTGTGTCCAGGTGTGCTCCAGGTGTTTATCTGGGTAATGTGCTGTAGGTGTGTATGTGCAGAGTTAACAAGTATGTCAGTGGGAGGAAGTCTCAGTGGTCAGTGGGTGAAGAGGCAGTACAGGACAGGATCTTCCTCCAGATCCCAACACAAGGTTTGTCTCTACAGCTAACCCTAACCCACAAAGCTACAACATAGCCACTAGCTTAGTGTCAACAAGAGGTAAAGTTTGTTTCCTGTCATTTTAAACTGCTGTTTGAAAAGCTCCACCAGTTTGAAATATATACGTCTTAAAAAATGCAATTTTCTCTTTCCCACGAAATTTCACCGCCAACAAATGCCTAAAAACATCTCAACATGGCAATTATTTGAAAAGTGCCCATGAAGTCAGGCCATAATCTAAACCCCCCCCCCTGCGACTTCCTGTATAGACCGCCTAATTCCAGCCTCTGAATTCTAAGATTTACTAGTTTTCATTTTCTTATGTGACAGTAAGCCAAATATTTGGGGGTTTGGAAAAACTTTTTGAATTGTAAATATCTACACCAGTCAAGACGTCGTCATAATGTCATAATTGTGTATTCTGGGAATCATTACGACCTTATTTTAAACCTAGATTATAATAGTGTGGACTAATTTTCCTCTCTGTAAATGTTCTCCTCAGATAGTCGGGATGCTGATGGAGCTGGATGACATGAAGGTCCAGTACGAGCGACTGGTCTCAGATCTGCTTCACTGGATCAAAACCAAAGTAACAAAAAACAACAGTGTTGACATTTGGATGTGAGGAAATTATGCTAATCAGAACTTATTATGATTATTTTCTGTGTGTCTGACTGAAGGTGGTGCAGCTGAATGACAGACGATTCCCAAACTCTCTGAGGGAGATGCAGAAGCTGATGATGGCTTTCAAGACCTACAGAACTGTGGAGAAACCTCCCAAATACCAGGTGAGATAACGTCACAACACCTAATCAGCCTTCAATTGGATTTATTTATTTAAACTCAGAGTATCCAGCTCTTTATTATTAAAGATGCTGTGTACGACCGAGTGCTGCCGTCCACCAGACTCCATTGACCAAAACACAAATTCTACCTCTCAGTTCATGAAACACAGCAACAAAATGAAACTCACCAGAAGGGACTTTGATTGTCTCTTCACTGTTCCAACAACAACCAATAACTCAGGTTTGGACCAAAATAAATCCTTAATTAACCAAGTAAGATGAGGAAATAGCCTCGAAACCGGCTGCAATGGCCAGAATGAAAAGTTAGCTGATCCTTGTTGTCAAAGTCCGTCCACTAAAAGTTGGTGTTGCTACTGACAGTGTGTGATAACTTATTTATTATTATTTTGTCATGAATTGATTATTATTTTCTCCTGTCCTTTGCCTAATTGTCTGAAAAAACTGTAATAATTCAGAAATTGTCATTTTTTTATGTTACATTATATATATTAATAGTTCTGAATTAATCTTATTTCATTTTGAAAATGTTTATTATAATAAAAAAACAATATAAATGCAATCATTAAAAGATAAAAATTTAAATGTTATTTTCATTAATTAAAATGTTTATATATTAAAATGAGTTTGGGTACAATTAGAGGACTGGAACCAAGCTAGTGCACGTTACTAAATATTACACTATAAAGAACAGAAAAAAATACTGTTTATGATAAATTCAGATTAACATGGAATATAAAATAATTGATTAATGCCGTTATTTCTCAGCTTCTCGCTGTAATGAGCTCTGACATATTTTGCTGCTTCTACAGAAATGTAAATTATGGTATTATCCCAGAGGAAATATGGAGTTTGGTTTTTGTCTGATACATTTGGCTATATATTTAATTTTGTATTTTCTTGGTCTCTCTGTCTTTAGGAGCGTGGGGCCATTGAAGCTCATCTGTTCAGTCTGAAGACTCAGCTGGCAGCCAACAACCAATGGGCTTACAATCCTCCAGAAGGTATAAAACACACATACACACTCATCACCATCACTGTTTACATTTATGATGTCTTATTTATTCTCCTGTACAGCACTTTGGTCAACTTTGGTTGTTTTTAAAGTGCTTAACA